TATTTTCGTTGCTACTTTATAACTGTAATTTTGCTACTGTTATGAATCAGGCGACCCCTGTGGAAAGGTCGTTCGACCCCCAAAGGGGCCATGACCCACAGGTTGAGAATTGCTGTTCTAATGCAGCACAGCAACTTATTGAGTCTACGATTTTTACTACCAACTCATTATACAGTTCAGTGTAAATCAATAAATACATCCAAATAACAGATTTTATTAGTTCTTCATCCATAAAAAGGGTGTGTGTGTGTTTTTATTATCACACTTAAATAAGAAAATAAGTGTTAACTGTTTTATAAAATAAACACATTCTCTGAATGAAACAATACCCTTTTGAAGACTTAATTTTGTCCCTTCAGAAGGAAATAGCAAGCTATGTAGAGAAGACTTAGGAGCCTCTGTAGCAATTGTGACCTAGCACAACACTGAATTACCTAAAGCTCTGAAAATGAAGGTATAGCTTCAGAGTCCATGGATCAACCACATCCATAATTTGGCATGACCTTTAGAAACTTTTAGCTGACAATTAGAGTGATATATTTTAGTGTTGACTGACTGCCTTAGAAAGTTGAGGTATAGTGCTTTAGATGCTTATCTGGCTAAAGATCTTTTAAAAATGCACATTTTGTTTTAAATTTACTTTTAGGTTTGGCAAATTCGTGTCGACCTACATTTATTAAATCATGATGGAAATATTATTGATGCTGCCAGTATTGCTGCGATTGTGGCCTTATGTCACTTCAGAAGACCGGATGTGTCAGTCCAAGGAAATGAAGTAACACTGGTAGGCGTCTCTAAGGAGAGCAGGCTCTTGGATAGGAGTGAAGGAATGTAAGGAGTGAAGGAATGTACGTGGTGCAGGCAGCTGCTATTAGTGAAGTCATGCCCAAGATGGCAATTAGGTTCTAAAATTTGTTCATGGGAGAAAACTGCATGTGCTCAAAATTGCCCTTCTAATTTCTTAATTATTGGAAATATCTGTTCGTGGAAGTCATCCCCAGCATCAGCCAGTGGCAGAGCTCTGGGTATCTCTGATCCTGCTTGTCCAGAGATGACATTTTGAAAACCACTACCTTTGTTTAAGTTATCGGAGCCCTGCTGACATAGTGGTTACCCGTTGTTCTGCTGACTGAGGTCAGCAGTTTGGAACCACCAGCCACTCTACAGGAGGAAGCCACTGTAGGCTTTCAGCTTCCATAAAGAGTTGCAGAAACTCACAGGGGCAGTTCTGCCTTGCCCTTTAGGGTTGCTATAAGTTAGCATCGGCTTGATGGCAGTGAGTTTGGTTTGTTTTTATTCACATATATCTAAGTTACATTCTAGCATAATGAAAATGCCCCATAGTGGTAGTTTGAGTCTTAACATTTTAAAAAGAAACACCAGATGCCTGGATTCTCTAAAGTCTAAAGAGTCATTTTTAATAATACATCTAGGCATTAAACTGGAGCAAACGCTCTTGACTTAGGGGAAAAGGCATATGAATATTAGAGATGTAGGTTTTTAGAGGAGGGAGCTGGTGTGAGACAGCAAAAGGAGAGCAATTAGGAAACTTAGAAGAGAGCAGCTGAAAAAGCACACTTACTGAATACAAAGTGGCTCATTTGTATTGGAAATGTTTAGCAGTTTCTTAAAAGGTTAAACGTAAACTTAGCATACTCCCTAGCCTAAGAAATACATACTCACACATGTGAATGTTTATAGCAGTATAGGACATACTAGCCCCAAACTGGAGATAATCAGATGTCCAGCTGACAAACAGATACACACGTGTGGTATATCCATACAATGGAATACTCTCTAGCAATAAAAAGGATCCAGTTATTAACATATGTTGCTGAGTTGATTCTGACTCATCACAACACTAGGCTGGAGTGCACTGTCCCGTGGCACAAGACTGACCTTTACAGAAGCAGAATGCCACATCTTTCTCCTGTGGAGTGGCTGGTGGGTTCACTGCTGACCTTTCACCGGAGGGGGCACTTAACCACTGGGCCACCCCAGCTCCTTCACCGACAGCACAAGCTCGATGAAATATGGTTCATGAAGACGCCAGATCAAAAGAGTGTGCATTGCTTCATTCTATTTACAATGACACCTCAGTTGTCGAACTCGGTTCGTTCCAAATTTGTGTTCGAACACTGAAAAGTTCGAGAACATATTTTTTCCATAAGAAATCATGGAGACACAAATAATTGGTCCTGCAGCCCCCAAATTTCACCTATAATTTATTCATCCGGGACATTAAATCACTGTGGAGGCTTTTACCTTCTCACATATCACTGTCTTGGCCCAATGAACTATTGCCATTGAATTGCTTCTGATTTATCCAGATTAAGAGTAACTTTTCAACCTCTTTTATGGTCTGGCTTCTTCATTTCCTGGTTAATGATGTCACAACTTTTAGCTGCTTTTATTACTTTTCCCCCCCCAAAATGTTGAAAATCCTGACCTTGCTATGTTGTACTCGGCTGCCAAATCAGAAAAGCAGCGACCTGATTCAAATTTTGCAATTTCTTTGTTTCTTTAACTCGATTGTGTTTCTCCCGGTTTTCCTCTTAACATTACTGCTGTTATCACTAACTTTCTTTGGAGCCATGGTTACGAATTTTACGCAAATAGAATACAAAAAACACAATGATGAATGTTTACCACATGAACACAAGTGGTACGAATACTATGTGTTGTCTGAGCAAGAGCGGCGCTTAGGCTTGAAGTGTCACCCTTTTGGGCCCATGGCAGGACTACGATGCGTGCCTCACTTGGCCTGTACCGTTTTCTGTTCTATCAAGCACAGGAACGAACACTGAGCAGATTTTTTTCACACTGCCGTTCAACTAGTGGAAAGTTTGAGCTAGGAGCCAGCTGCTCGATGATCGAAGTATCACTATATAAAATGCCCAGAAAAGATACATTTTTCTAAGGACATAAAGCAGATACTTGGTGGGCCACCAGGTAAAAAGGAAGATGGACCGCAAACAGGCTCAAGAGGGTTTTCTGGAGTCTTGTAAATGTTCAAAAACAGTTGTGATGATTGGGAAACGTTTATAAATTTACTGAAAAGTAAATTTTATACCGAAAATAGATTTTATGGTAAGTAAACAATGCTTCAACAAGGTTTAGAAAATGCCCCAAAGTTTTGAAGAGTATGACCGGCAAAGTCAAATAACCAAATCATGTAAAAAGAAAGTGAACTTATATATTCATTGAAGAGTAAAGAAATTTTATTTATCTTCATATTTATATGCAAGATGACTTTTGTCTGCTTATAACTTGTCACTTGCCATCCTTTGAGAACAGTACACCCCTGAGGAGCGGGACCCTGTACCCTTGAGCATCCACCACATGCCCATCTGCGCCAGTTTCGCCTTCTTCCAGCAAGGGTGAGTGTTGCCTAGAGCTGCCTGACCCACATGTTCCATAGACAGTGAGTGCCACCTCCACCCCACTTTTAATAGTAAAGAATTGTAGTGTTCCATTTCTTTATAAAAGCATTAGTAAAGAGCGTTCTCAATAAAAGTGACCAACTCTTTTATAGATTATGTACGACATGTACGAGTTCTAGGAGCAAGTCACAAGGGAAAATGGGTTACAAACAGGGGTAAAGAAAATTCCTTTTCCTTCCGTTCAATTGAGCCCTGGTGGCTCAGTTGTTAAACACAGGGACACCACCAAAAAGATTGGTGATTGGAATCCACAAAGTGCTCTGCAGGAGAAAGATGATGTAGTCGGCTTCCACAAAGATACACAGTCTTAGAAACCCCAGGGAATATTTCTGTTGTCCTATAACATGGCTATTAGTTGGAATTATCTCGTTGGCAGTGGCCTTGGGCTCAGCTGTCTCATGCTTTCTTCACAATTCACTGCCAATTTCTCATACAACAGAAATTCTGGGGTCCCTTAGATCAAGTAAGAGTGCCTTTAAATACAAGCCTGGGCCTTTAATCGTGAAACAAAGCCCATTACTGTCTAGTCAGATTTGACTTGAAACAAAGGAATGCTGTTTTAACGATATATAAATAAGTACTGGAGAAAAGCCTTCCATTTTCAGTCATTGTAATGTAGAATTTCATTAGAAAGAAATAGGTCAGCTCTTCCAGACATATATAATGGGATGCGTATGTGCAATTTAAACGTCCTCTTGTTATTAGATTCATCGAGTCGGCTGTGACCCATAGCAACCCTATGCACAACAGAATGAAACACTGCACAGTCCTGTGCCATCCTCACAGTTGTTCCTGTGCCTGATCCCATTGACGTAGCCACGATGTCAGTCCGTCTCCTTGAGGGACAGCCTTCCTGTTTTTGATGCCCTTCCACTTTACCAAGCATGACATCCTGACAGTTTGTCCAAAGGATGTGAGATGATGTCTCACCAGTTTTTGCCTGTAAGGAGCACACTGGTCGTCTTTCTTCCAGCACAGAACGGTTTGCCCTTTTAGCAGTCTGTGGTACTTTCAGTAGTGTTCCCAGCATCGCAGTTCAAGTGGATCAGTCTTCCTTCTTCAGGGCCCAACGTGCACATGCATTTGATGCGATGGAGAATGCCATGGCTTGCGTCAAGCCCAGCACCTTAGTCCTTAAAATAATATCCTTGCTTTTCTGTACTCTAGAGAGGCCTTGTGCAGCTGATTTACCTAATGCAATGCATCTTTGGATCTCTTGACTGCTGCTTCCATGAGCATCAATTATAGATCCAAGCGAGACAAAATCCTTGACAACCTCATGCTTTTCTTTTTTCCATTTATCATTACGTTCCCTATTGGTCCGGTTGTGAGGTTTTGGGTCTTTCTTACATCGTGTTGTAATGCATACTAAAGGCATCAATCCTTGGTCTTCCTCAGGAAGTGCTTCAATTCCTCTTCACCTTTAGCAAGCAAACTTGTGTCATCTGCATATCGAAGGTTGTTAATAAGCCTTCCTCCAATCCTGATTCCACACTCTTCATAGAAGCCCGCTTCTCTGCTATGCCCAGCATACAGATTGAATTGGTGTGTTGAGAGGATACAACCCTGACACACTTCTTTCCTGATTTTAAACCATGCAATATTCCCTTGTTCTGTTATCACGACTGCCTCGTGTTCCATGTACAAGTTCCAAATTAGCACAATGAACTGTTCTGGAATTCCGATCTTAAGGTTATCCACAGTTTATCATGGTCCACACAGTTAAATGCCTTTGCATAGTCACAAAATGCAAGTAAACATCTTTCTGTTGGAGTGTTGACTATTTCTTTTGGGTACAGTGACTGTGTATTCTCTCCATCTTCTCTTGATGCTTCCTGCATCTGTCAATATTTTTCCCCTAGAATCTTTCAAAATTGCAATTCGAGGCTTGACACCCTTCTTGAGTTCTTTGACTTTCTGGTATACTGCGTGTGGTTCCCCTTCTGGTTTTCTAATTCTAGGTCTTTGCACATTTTATTATAAGATTTGGCTTTATCTTCTTGAGCTGTCGTATGAAATTTTCTATTCAGTTCCGTGACTTCATGCTTTCTTCAATTTGCTTTAGCTACTCCACAATTACGAGCAAGTTCAGAATTTTTTTTTTATGGTATCAAATTACTTTGTTGTGTTTATTTTACAAGATGAGTAGGCTTAGGCACTGAATGCCTATGATTCCTGGAAATAATAAAATATACACACCTGCATGATGCTAAAACCAGAGTAAAAAACCATTCCCACCAGGCTTCAGTCATTCTGGATGGATATTTACAAGTAACAATGGCACCGCGGTGATAATTCGCAGTTTATGCTATAAACCATTAAAGGAACTGGAGTCTGTTCTGACATGCATTTTGGTCTTTTCTTTTTTGCCTTTTTAATGACCTTTTGCTTTCTTCATGAATGACGGGCTTGACGTCGTCTTCCCCTAGCTCATCAAGTGCTCAGTGTTTCAAATCTGTCTGAAATGTTCTCAAAATTCAGGGGGGATACATTCAAGGTAGTATTTTGGCTCTGTAGACTTTTGACTTGTTTTAATTTTTTTCAGCTTTTTCCTGAACTTATATGTGAGCATTTGATGGCCTGTTCCCCAGGTGGCCCCTGGTCTGGTTGTAGCTGCTGATACTAAGCTTCGCTATCATGTCTTCCCACAGATGCAGTCACTGTGCTGTCTGTGTACTCCATCTGGGGAAGTCCATGTGTGTAGTGGCCGTTTGTGTTGTTGAAAAAGGTATTTGTTATGAACAAGTCATCCATTTTGCAAAATTCTATCATGTGCTCCAGTTTCATTTCTATCACCGAGTCCCTATTTTCCAACTACTGGTCCTCCGTTTCCAATCTTTGCATTCCAGTCACCGA